ACCCTAACCCTAACCCTAACCCTAACCCTAACCCTAACCCTAACCCTAACCCTAACCCTAACCCTAACCCTAACCCTAACCCTAACCCTAACCCTAACCCTAACCCTAACCCTAACCCTAACCCTAACCCTAAGACTCCGCCGAAGACGCAAAGCCGTGGGCCAATGATGCCGTCGCATCGTTCCGCCTCTCTCCACAGGATTATCATCGCTATCATTCGCCCGTCTCTGGCACCATTAGGTGGTGGAAGGAGCTTGACGGGGAATACTACGGGGTTGATCCAATCTGCCTCCAGAGCGACATTGACATCCTCACCGCAAATGCTCGTAGTGCGTTCTGCGTCAACTCCCCAGCATTCGGAGAGGTACTCTTCGTCGCCATCGGTGCGGAGGACGTCGGTACAGTGAAACTCAATGATTCCTGTAAGACCGAGGGAGCGGAGATCAAGAAAGGAGAAGAAGTGGGCATCTTCGAATTCGGCGGTAGTTCGATTATCGTTGCGTTCGAGAAGGGCAGGATTGAGTTCGATGAGGATTTGAGGGAGGTATCGAATCAGTCGATCATGATGGATATCGACGTCGGAATGAGCTTGGGAAGGGCCACGACGCCGCAGTGAAATGCCTGTGCCGTCGATCTTTGTGTTTACTTTGTCGTCCCAATGTACCCATCCATTGTATGAGTTTGCCTCTAATGTTCGAACCCGCATGTGCCCTAAAATCTGCTTTGCACCTTAAATCAGCCACATGAAGGCAAATAGTTTATGCAAAGTCACTTGCGTTGGTCGCGGGGGCAAAGACGATTAGGAATGGGCATACCTCTAGGAAATCACCTCCAAGCCGGCAACATTCTTGCTCCACCACTGGTTCAACAGACGACTGACGCCACCGACCTCGGTCGAGACAGGCATACAAAAGCAAAGCAGTTACGAGGGGCTTATGGGGTCTTTTCCAAAGAAAAAATATGTTCCTATTACCCTCCTATGGCCTCGTCGTCAGATCTTGAAGTCTGCTCGTTCACGGATTCCCACGGTCACATTACATTAGCGGAGCCATAAAATGCACGGGAACCTCGACCTAGCTATACGTGATTCGCAACTGGAGTGAAGCCATATTAAATGTTCATTTTATTTTTTGTGCAACAGCCCACAACATCCTCGTTCAAGATGTTTCGCACGCGTGCTGCATGTACACACATATTCACAGATGGAAGTTGAACCATCGAATACTGCGGCCGCGGACGTGGTGCTGTTGGAGACTCATGTGCAATATTCTGTCGGATCACCACTCTACACCGAGGCACAACTTGCCTTTTGCCGCTTGGTTCCCAAGATTGAACTCCACGCACACCTAAACGGCTCCGTACGGTTATCCACATTGCGTGAGCTGGCGGCGATGCACAACATCGATCCATCGTCTGCGATGTTCCTCAACCATATGGATGATCGAACATTGACTGAGTGCTTCGGTGTTTTCGAGGTCGTACACAAGATCACGACCAGTCATCAGGTTCTGCGGCGTATTACGAGGGAGATGTGTGAGGATGCGGAAGAGGATGGGGTGGTGTATATGGAAATCAGGACAACTCCAAAAGACAGACCAGAGGTGAATATGACCAAGAGATCTTATGTGGAGGCGGTACTCGAGGGCATTGATGAGTATCGGACGGCGGGAGGTGCCCATTCCTGCATCACCAAGCTTTTGCTCAGCATCGATCGACGAGAGAATGGAACGAGTGCGATGGAAACCGTGCACCTAGCAGCATCCTTCAGTGGCAACTGTATCATCGGCATTGACCTATCGGGCAATCCCTCGCTTGGAAACTTCTCCATATGGCTTTCGGCACTCCGGCTCGCTGGCGATTGCGGCTTGAAAGTCACCCTTCACGCAGCCGAAGTCCCCAATGCAGAAGAGATGCACGCAATGCTCAATTTTGCCCCGGATCGCTTTGGTCACGTCTGCTTCCTTGATGACGCATGTGCATCTCGACTCGTTGAATCCCGCATTCCACTCGAGCTCTGTTTGACGAGCAATTTGATTACGAAGTTGGTGGCATCCTACGCTCAACACCACTTCATCGATCACTACCGTGCCGGTCGAAACCCGATTGTGCTATGCACGGACGATAGCGGTGTTTTTGGCACGTGTCTAAGTAGAGAGTATGCAATCGCTATGGGTACTTTTGGCCTAAGTGAATGTGACGTCTTAGAAATGGCGAAGGGAAGTTTAGAGGCAGCCTTCCTGAGTGAGCAGGAGAAGGAAGCGTTGAAGACAAGGGTAAACGACGCAACGGTCGCGTTGCAGCGAAGGTGCAAATCGGGCTCTTTACCGTGAAAGCTGTGACCGTTAATAATCGAGAGAGCACTGGTCGCATTATAAATCTGTAGGCAACGCGATCGACTTCGCCCTCCAGATGCTTTGCCGGAGATCAGGCTAACGGCGTGCATCAGATATTCCGTATGCAACCAAGCCGCTGCCGCTCCCTTCTCCCCCCTCCTCCTTCACGCATTCTACCCGTAGACCTCTTTAAATCTTCGCCGTCACTTTCCCCTCCGCATGCCCAACCTTCCCCGCATCAACAATGGTGCACAAATGTCTGCTCAACGCCAATACCTCCCCCTTCTCGTCTCTCACCTCGACATCGATATCGAACCGCCTATACGATCTGTCAGCGTGCCTGAACCATACATTTCATTCTCCACAGCACCACCGACCCATTCTTCACCATCTTCGCGATGTAGTGTATGTGTATCCACTGCGGATCAAGCGATGTCGGCGCCCGAAATTGTATCTCGAGCGTGAGCGTTGGAAACCAGGCCACCTTTCCTTCGCCGAGTTGTCCGTGCAGGTATGGCGGGGGTACGCTCCTAATCCAAAGTGTGAGTCACCAAAACCTTACGGGAAGAGTTCTTTGATGAGCTCACAAGCAATCGGCGAACATTGCGACGACGGGTTCATCGATAGGCCGAGACGGTTCGTTAACCAGGCGAATCCATTGTAGACGCTCGGTGCGCTTGAGTTCTTCGATAGCGGGATCGACGCAGATCTCTATGTTGTCAATTGCCGGCCTTTTAACGGGGCCCAATGTAGTTGTGATGGGGTGACAATCCTTAAATAGTGTGAATGGCGCGAGAGAATGTTGAGGGTACGTTGGGCCTTTTTCGGCGGAAAAGGACGAGTGCGTCGAGAGAGTCGTAAGAATATGTCGCTTCTGTGCCATCTCCGTGTTAGCATCCGCAGCAACAGGAAAGGATTACTGAGCCTTTAAACACCTCCTGCCACATCTCCACAGAACATACGGCGTAAGTCCGGCCCCTCTTCACGTCTTTCACTGTGATCTCCACGTCCCTCCCCGCATCGGGCTTGTTCAAGAAGGTGACATTGATATGAAAACAATCTTTGTGCTTGTCACCCGTGACAGAGACGTTATGCGTTTTCAGGGCATTGAGAACGATGGCGACGAGGTAGCCGCCGAGAGGGGCATTGCCAATTGTCCAGTTGGTGGAGAGATGGGCGGAGAATGTGGTTAATCCGGACGATGAGGAGATGGGATGAACGGCGATGACTTCGTCGAATGATGGCATTTCTCTTGGTTGAAGCTGTCGAGGTGTTTGGAGTGAGTTCACGTTCCATTTGAAGAGACCTAGTCGCTCACCGTCTGTTGCTTGCTATTGCGGAGGTCGGCGTCGGCGCCGACGGAGCCGCGGATGCGGGGTGCACGGATTCCGAAAAGCTCGAAGAAGTCCGTGGACTCCGAATTCACTTACTCATGACAGGTTGGTAGTGTAGTGTGATGTCAAATTTACGATATACCATCTATCGTACAGAAACACAACTTCGTTCCTTCACGCCCGGTCTGTTGTACCACCTCGGAACTCCTCACATCTTGCTCGGCATCCTCGTCGCTCCATCCAACCGAATCACAGCTCCATTCAACATAGGGTTCTCCACAATGGCTTTCACAACCAAGGCAAACTCCTCCGCTTTTCCCGGTCTCTGCGGCCACTCTAGCACCTTCAGTAGACTCTTCCGTGCCTTCTCTCCGAGTTTACTCGTCATGGCTGTCTCAAACATACCCGGTGCGATACTCACAGCTCTAATGCCGTAACGGGCGAGATCTCGTGCGAGGGGAAGGGTGAGCGAGCGAATTGCGCCTTTGGAGGCAGAGTAAGCGAGTTGACCGGGTTGTCCGTCGAAGGCCGCGGCGGACGATACGGTGATGATCACACCCCGTTCGCCGTCAGGATCCGAACCTTGGTTCGTAGTCATGTGTGGGAGGAAGAGACGGATGAGATCGATTGTACCTGTGACGTTTATTTGAAGGACGCGATTGAACGCGGTGATATCGAGAGGCTTGTTATCTTTGTCGATGATCTGACATACTGTTACTTCCCTTCATTCGCATAAGACAGCATGGTACGACTTACCTTTGCCGCCGACGCAACTCCAGCACAGCACACGATTCCTCCCAACTCGGCCTCCGTTTCTTTCGCCCACTCCATCACACCCGCGACGGCTTTCTCGATGTCGGAAGTCTTGGTAACATCAACTTTCCAGAACTTTGCTTTCCCACTTGAAGCCTCAATAAGACCTTCGCCAGGGTTCAGGTCCAGGACTGCTACGTAAGCACCGTGTGCGAGGAGGATCTCGACGGATGCGCGGCCGAGGCCGGAGGAGCTATTTTTGTGTCAGTCCTTTGCAGTTTTTCGACAAGGGGAAAGGTGCACGCATACCCGCCGGAGATAACGAAGGTCTTGTTAGATGTCTTCATCGCTTTTGCTATCCTTCTATGTGTGTGGTGGTTCAAGTCGGTGCGGTGGTGTACGTTGACGTTTGTGTGGGGTGCGGAGTGCGGGGCCAAACTGGGGTGCAGAACAAGCACCCTGAGGACCCACCCTCGACAACCTTACCATGCCTAGTCATGTATTACTTTTGCAATCGTATTGTAGATGAATCTCATCCTACGCGGAATAAATGGTCATATCGCTTTGCGAGACGAGCATTCCAACTCACTTCAGCCATTGAATTTGATGTTCTCTGCACGGAGCAGTTGTGCGCGGAGCGTTCGGGTCCTGAAAGCCATTCGCGATGAGTTACTTGAAGACAATTTGTCAGGCAAGGCAAGCTCGACGAAGACGCACCGCGCATAAGAACTCGAAACTGGTCGCTGGACGGCTACCCATTGTGTGACATTCTGGATAGCAATACCACTGTTTGTTCAATTCATGTTTGGCGGGAAAGCCTGCTCCAGTACAGATACTGATTGCGGTACTCTTGTAATCCAGACCATTTAGCCCACCGTACTGGATAAAGAACCTGTAAACAAACTCTGCCAGGGATAGCTCGGCGGAGTCTTAGCATGCTAGCGCAGCCCTTCTGCTGTGCGATCCGACTTCCATGTCCAGATACCGCGTGGATCGCACAAATCTACCGATGTCCATCTGTTCCCAGCCGACAAGTACTTCGGTGCGCTCGCCAATCCCTTTTTTGTGCAAGTTTGGAAGGACGCCGAGATCCCTTAAGAGGGCGATAGTCATCAACGAGATGGTGAAGCTGTTCACCATCATGTCTACAACAATGTGAAGTTAGTTGACTTTTCGTTTGGACCACTTACTCGATAAAGATACCGTCCTGCGAGTTTGTCCATCCTCTTGTTTTCGAAGGACACCCTGATCGCGAGGATCAGGGTCTGCAGGTATGAAAAGATTACGATATATTGATTGATAAAATTGGCACTGAAAAGGAAACTTCAGTCCATACTCAATACAATGAGAGCGAATGAAAGGGGTGCTTACTCCTCGACGGCACCACCATTCCAAACTGTAATATTGTACTTCACGCCATCTCTCACGAAGGAAACTGAAGCGGGCGACACACCAACGGGGTCTCTCCTGGATATATCGGACATATAGAGCCGCCCTAGACAACGCTCGATATCATCCAAAGCCATTTTGGGGGAGATCCACTCATGATCACTGTCGAAGAAAGCCGAGATGTGAATGGCAGATGAGCCGAGGCTCAGATCAGTGATGGCAGAACCGTAACCCTCGAGATAAACATATCTGAGTTTGGCTGTGCTCTTAATGTGCCTCAACTCCGTCTGAAGTTTCGATATCCGTTTCTCGACCTCCGCGAGAGGAAGCGAGCCCCTTCTCGCTTGGAGGATACTCTGTGAAATGATGTCGCTCAGAGTCGCAAACTCCTCACGCGTTAAGGGTGTTGGGAACGGTGGGCAGTCTCTAAACTCCTGCAGATTCTTTATAAAGTCATTGCCCAGGACGCCCAGGGTAAGACATTTCTTGCCGGTCAACTTCTTTACAGTATGCCGAACCACCCCGAATTCACCATAAAGGTTCCGATGGCCTCAGGGATAGGATCCGTGGCAAAATCAATAACCCGGCGAAGCATAGGTAAATTCACACTTCGTTCGGGTACGTGGTCGATGATGAGGAATTTGTGCGGTGCATAGTACGTCAGCATAGTGAAATGTTGTAAAAAGCCTAGAGAACCCGATGTCAGCACTGGACTGCACGAATAGAGGTAAGACGCATGGATACCGTTCACTTCGGCTTGAGTCACACCATGAGCTTGGGACACAGGCGCTGGGGCATCACGAGTGGCACAATCCGGTACCACGGAGTCACCGGCCAGGTCATTCTGGGATTCTAAGATCACCTCGCTCCTCATACGTTGGCTGAGCGAGGATATCGGCAATGGGAATCGATGTGCGGTTGCTCATGGTGGCAGTTGATGGTAGTAGCTGTTACTGTGGTTTTCAGAGCGCTTCAAGGCGGATGGTCGTTACGTTTTTCTGATTATGGAGGGAAATTGGCCGTGTGCCGCGAGGGTGCGTGACCTGTTCCCCAGTTTACAGCTTCATACCAGGTATTTTCCGCCGACCGGGGTGTGGTGTGGAAATGAAACCTTATCTCCATCGCGACATAGCAGCCGATGAGTATAAACCTTGCTCCATCGACACCGCAGACCACTCGATAATACTGTTTGTATGGTTTGCACCACGAGCATCCGCTTTTTTCGCCGGGCGCGTTCGCGAGTGTTAATACGGAAGTTGCTCCAGTCCAACATGTACCACGCGCAAGCCGTTATGACATGCTGAGCCTTCGCTCCCGTCAACATCGACTGCGTACAAGCTGGCTTGCCTTACCTACGTGTTTACGTCCTTGCTGAAGGTTGCGTTAGAGTACAGCACAAACCTGCGCCGTCCGTGAACCTGATTCAGACCACGAACACGCCAACAATGCCGCTTCCAAGCCCTCTGTGCAAAATCGGAGCATGAGCTTCTGTATAGGGTATTGCTGTCCGTCAGCGAAGGTCGAGGTATCTATATCCGTCTTTGATGTTTGGAGTGCCGGCTGACGGCTGACGGCTGACGGTATAGACGAGGATCTTGAGGCGACTGCGCTCTCCGCATGGTTTCTTCGTCGAAGACAGGGAAAAGGTGAGGATATACGCCTTTTGGTTGCGGTCATCGATAGGGATATATACATCCGCCGCTTTCGTTATGTGCTGCGAGGAGAGGAGAGGAGAGGAGAAAAGAGGGGATGGGAGGATCGGCAAGTGCAAACGAGCGCGCGAAGCGACTGGGAGAACGTATGTGAGGTGAGGCACTTATGAGCGCCGTCATAGTATTTGTCTGTCAATTTCTTTACATTGTCTGTCATGGCCTCTGCCGCTATTGCCAGTTCACTTAAGGTGTCGTAACAGCCACAGTCGTATTGGTACGATACCAACATCTCAGTGTTGTAGAGGAATTGCCCTGAGACGCGAACCGAGAAGACGGAGAGCACCATTATCGAATATATTTCATCAATGAACGACTATGCAACACGATAACCCATGCGTTTTCCTTATGACATACATCGACGTACGTATCGCACCGATAACGAGCTCCCCAATCTTCTTCTTCTTCCGCTGGACAATCTTCTTACGGGCTGCAGTAACATCGCGTGCGCCCTCACTATCGCTGCTGCTGCTAACGATGACGAGGGATTCGTTGAGTGACTGGACCGTGGGAACTGGAGTTGCACCTCACTAAAAACTTGAGGTCCAAGTATAAACAATCCGTTATGGTCTAGGGGCTAGGATACTTCGCTCTCACCGAAGAGGCCGGGGTTCGATTCCCCGTAACGGAACGTCTCTTTTGCTTTCGCCGTTGTTCCCACGGGTGACGTCACTGCTGATCAGCTCCGCGGTAACGTAGACATGGATTAAACCTCCTCGACGGACCTCCCAACCTCCCAACAAAATTCCGAAGAACATTTACAATGGCGATCTCACCAATTCCCTCGTCCTCCCTCTCCGGCGTCAAACTCGCCTATGCCACTCCCTCCCTCGGCATGCACGAGAATCACACTCTTCCTCTCAAGCTCAAGGCTGTCTCTAAACACGGCTATGCCGGTGTCGAGATGGGATTTGACGATCTGTGCTCCTACGCAGAGCAAACATTCGGTGACGAATTCAAGGGCGAGGATGACATTCCCACCTTGGTGAAGACCGCGGAGAAGGTCTATGAATTGTGTCAGGAACTCAAGTTGGAAGTCATCTGCCTCCAGCCATTCTCCGATTTCGAAGGTATGTGTTCCCTCCTCTACCTTCCTCAATGAATTCCTAACCGATCGTACAGGCATCACCGACCCCACCGAACGCTCCGCCAGGTTCGAGACAGCCAAGAACTGGATGGCAATCATGCGCGCCCTCCACACCCCCATGCTCCAAATCGGCTCCACCGACAACCCTTCCCGTTCCTCCTCCTACACCACCATCGCCTGCGACCTCCGTGAACTCGCCGACCTCATCGCAGCCAAAGTCCCCAACGGCAGAATCGCCTACGAACCCTGGTGTTGGGGAGCCTGGATCGACACTTGGCGTGGGTGTTGGGAAATCTGCAAACTCGTCGATCGCCCCAACTTCGGTTTGTGTTTGGATACATTCCAGAGTGTCGGACGGGAATGGGCGGATCCCACGAGTGAGAGTGGGAGGATTGAGGAGGGTGGGATTACGGAGGAGAAGTTGACGGCGAGGTTGCAGTACAGTATGGAGGAACTCGCGAAGACTGTGGATCCGGAGAAGATCTTTTATTTCCAGATCTCGGATGCGTATCATATGCAACCACCCTTGACGCCGGATCATGAGGAGATGAAGGCGAATGAGGGCACGCCCGCTCGTGGAGTGTGGTCCCATGCGTTCCGTCCTCTCCCCTTTGACGATGAACTCAAGGGGAGCAAGAAGGGATATTTACCTATCAAGGAGTGTTTGAAGGCTGTGTTTGCTACGGGATGGAGAGGATGGGTGTCTATGGAGGTGTTTGAGGGCGAGGAGATGGGGAAGGAGAATGAGAGCGTGCCCGATGAGTGGGCGAGAAGGGGAAAGAAGAGCTGGGAGGGATGCGTTGCCGCGATGGCTGAGGAGTAGATGTATCGAAGATTGATCCATTAGTATACCTGTAATTACCATGCACCACCATATAATTTTACTCTGTATGGTTAGCTAGCGTGTACGGACAGACCCTCGAATCGACCAAGGTTGCAACTTCTCATTCGCGCTGTCTGGTCATTCTCCCCCTCTTCAGCGATGTGGAGTTATCCTTGCACAATTGATTTTACATCTGTTCATACGAGCACAATTGATTTTACATCTGTTCATACGAAGCGGTCAAACGTGAAACACCACCTCAACCTTGAGAACGCATTCGAGACGGCATACTGATGTGATGAAATGCACGGGTATATTGTATCCTCGCCCCTTCCCTTTCTCAATCTAATCCTGCCTTCCCTTCAACAACCTCTTCACAACCCCTTCCTTGGTCAAAACCCACACAACTACACCCCACCCAGACATAGCATCCCTATCAACCGCATTCAAAAACGCCTGACTGATCGTCTCAAACAAATCCTCCGCCTCCAACCCCTCTTCCCACAAGCTCTCACACATTCCAAAAAGCTGATCACTAGCCGTTCCCGACACGATGAAATCTTTGGCGAAATCGATACACCCGATTGAGTCGAAACCGCAGATGAAGGGTTTGTTGGTTTTCGAGTCGAGGCCGGCGACGACGGGGTTGGTGAAGTACGGGCCGAAACGCTTTTCGTAGAGGGTTGAGGAGATGAGGTTTGCGAGGATTGGGGGTTCGATTGCGCGTTCTTCGCGGAGGCGGTACATGTTTGTCTTGAAGCGTAGGGTTTCGTGTCTGTACGAGTATTAGCCACCGCACAAAAATATGGGTGCTGGACTATGGGCGTACAGTGTCAGGACATCCGTGGCCAATCCTGTCAGACCTACGAAGGTCTTCTCTCCCATTGGGAACACCTTCTCGAAGTTGTTGGCAACTGTCAGTGCCTGGTTGCTACCGAGACGGAGATCGCATGCAATTGCAATGCAGTCCTTTCCGGTCATTGCGACGCAAGAGCCGCCGTTGTAGTCCATGATCGACTGATCAATCCGCTGTTAGCATGACGTCTTGATTGAAGAACACTGGCGAGCGTGACTATACCATGCTGGGCAGATATATATGATGTTCTGAACGGTCAAGATATGCTTTGAGTCAATTGACGATGTTGTCCAGTCCTGGATAAGTGTACGGCTGTTGTTCTTGGGAGTGTATGCTGCTTCTTCTCTCGGAGGTGAGCGCGTACGTCAGCATGTTGCGCGCGGCTCCGAGGGGTACTGCATGGACGTGTATGGCCTCAACGAAGTGAATGTTACGGAGATTACAGAGCCTGAAGGAGGAGGATGAAAGAGATGGACAGCAATTATGGCACGGAAGAGAACCCCAGCATCGTATTCGCGATAACCTAGATTGAACCCAGACAAAATCCCAAATTATTCAATGTCCCTCAGAAGAATCTCGAGGAAACATTTAGTGAGCACGACGAGACTCGGCGATGACGGTGGTGAGCTCGTCGACCTTTCTCTTGGCACGGCCGAACGTACCGAGCCTGTTCTTGGCAAGCTTGCGGGCACGCTTGTCCTGGGAGTTGCGGAGCAACTCAATGACACGGCGTTCGTAGGGGGCGAGACTATTGAGTTGAGTTAGCATATGCGAGGAGGTTAAACGCTCCCATTCGCACAACGAATGCACTTGACCGATAGTGTATGCCGTGGGTACGTGCATCACCGACGTCGTACGCAAGTGTTCACCAAACCGGGGGAAACGTCAAGGACCTTCCGCACAATGTCACACTCCTCTCATCCAATCCATCGAGAACCATCCTTCCAGACCAGATTTCTCCGAATCCTTCGAGATAATCCCATCCGGTTCAGCATGCCCACGTCAGAAAATGCGACAAAGTACATCACAATCCAATAACGCTCCCCAAGTCGGTTTCCCACCCGTAATGTCGAAAATGTCGGCGTCACGACGTGAAAACGAACAAAGCGTTTCACGCCGGCGATGCAACGTACGCCATAAAGGACAAATACGAGCTATCGGCAAAGGGATCGCTGTGCGAAGAATAGGGAGCTAAAGGTAGAGGACATACCCAGCAACCTCCCTAATCAAGTCCCTGACGAAAGAAGTCCTCTTGGCCAAAGCACCCTTTCTGCGGGAAGGGCGGGCACGGGTGTCACGGGTGGTGACCTTGTGGCCGCGGTTGATGCCGACGGGGAGGCCTGTAGAGCAATGGCATCAGTATTATTCACGTTGAGAGGTGTTGACGAGTCGAAGCGTGTCGTTTGAGAACGAATTCACCCATCGCAACGCCCCAACAGCATCCACCAATCCATCCCCATCCAGCCCCGAATTCGCTCTCAAAACAAGACCAACGTATTCTCCTCGTCAAACACAATCGTAAACATACCGCTCTTAACTTCCTTAGCCATTGTATCGAGATTGTCGTGCTGGAGTCGATCGGATTTCTCCCTTCGTCGCTGTGTTTGACTGAGTAGCAGATTTTGCGTGGCGCAGGTGGGCTGGTGGGGGTGGTCAACGTTACATCCTACATCCCGCACCCTCGAAACCCTTCCTCGGCCATCTCACCCTCATATCCCTTCACCATGCCCTCAACTCTCTCCACCGACCTCCTAACACCCCACCCCAACCCCAACCCCTACACCCCCGACTACCGCCCCCTCCTCCTCCTAACCTCCTCCTCCCTCACCTTCATCCTCGCCCTCCTCTCCGCCCGCCGCGGCTCCCGAAAACTCAATAAACCGTTCCCATTCTATAGTCAGAACATGGTGTTTGCGGATGATGGGTTCTCGGCACATGGTACTGCGGCCAAAGCGTTTGGGATCGCGAGTTTGTTGAGTTTGGGTGGGTTTGGAGTTTTGGTTGGGTGTGTTTGGAGTGGGTCGAGAGCGAGAAGCGTACGTGTCTCCTCCCTTTTCTGCTCCTGTTACTGAGAGTGCTAATGAAGGTGGGCATAGTTGGAGGAGTTCGCAAATATCACGAGACACAAACTACGGGAGAAGGGGTTGGCGTTACCTGAGGTTGAGGAACAGGAGGTCGAAGTTGATTTTGGGAGTATGTGGACGCAGTTGTGGAAGGAGATTCGGGAGGGGAATACCAAGGAGGAGAATGAGTTGATGGATAAAGAGGAGGCGGAGAAGGCGAGTGTGAGTGCGTGAAGATGGTGTAGAGTTGGGCTGTTTGACATCTGCTTCCTGGCAGTGTGGAGGAGTGCGAGGGTGACACAAGGCATCACGCACGGCTTGGACTATGTTTACTAGAGAACCGTAGTCCGACCAGGACTTCGCCGATTGATCAAGGTCGATTGTTTGAAAGACGGGGCTTCAAGGATGAGGTGTCAGGAAGGAACGGACAGTTGGCATTCGCAAGGCGTTCATGGACATTAGCATAATACCCGTTGGTTATTCTCTTTACATTTGTACGATACGCAAAGTGCTTCCAATCGCCCTCATCCACACCTGATGCACGAGCGAGGTCTGCAAATCTGCGCGTGTGGGTTGTCGTCGTGACGGTGTGAGATTAAGGGCAGCAATAAGCAAGTCATGACATTCGTACGGCGAGTATGGACTGGCTCTGTCGCTGATGCTGGTATGGTAATCAACCTGTGGTCATGATTTTGCGGCGCTGCTGTGGGTTCAACGGCTTCAAATGGCAGGTGCGGAGGTGAGTCTGCGGACGGAGGTCTGAGGAATCGCAAACGCAGGCAACTTCTCTTTGGTTTCTCTTCCACCGGCGCCCTGGATCTTCCCGTCAAGTTCAGTTAGGGAGTCGAACATGTGTGACGCGCCTCTGTTTTCGTCGACGGGGCAGCTTGGTATAGTCGACTCACGAAACCATACGGCTCATGGTAGCACATCACGAAGTTACGTAGCAAAGCTTTGATCGCTTCAGTGGCGCGGTTTACCGACCGTCTATATATAGGCACTTCACCCTCCTCCTGAGTCCTCCTCCACCTCCTCCTCTTCGAGTGGTTTACGAATTGTGGTCGTGTTGCTATGGCTTGCAGCTTTGAAGGTAGGTCATGTTCAGTACGCTCACTGAAGATGTATACAGTATCACCGTCCGCAGAGTTTCGGGTTGATGATATGACGCCTCCTGCTACCCGTGCTACTTGAGCCCATTCAACGCTGTTTTGACCGACGAAATATGTGAAGACGAGGTGCGATTTTGCTTATGTGGAGGGGAGCGACGTGCCCGCGGATGGACAACTCGTGAAATTCCTCCATGAGAATTGCTCACCCACTTGTGTTTGCGAGTGGCAAAGTTGCGAGGTGCTATCGGTCCAGAAGTCGACAAGTACTCGTTGCGCCGTAATCCGTCATGGCAACTCAATTGCAAACTCGTAGTCCATAGCCTCTACCTCGATTCTCGATAATAAATATGCATTCCAGTTGAAACGGAACACAATCACCGCTATCGCCGCCCCCATTAACCACTCCGACTTCGTCTCCCAAGGCGTCACGGCGCACAGCCTCGCTCCTCCAACCCAGATGATGCCAAGAAAGAGCCCAAGTCAGCAAATCTACTTCAATTGAAGCATCAACTATGACTCCCTTAGATGCAAAATCGATCTCACAACTGATCGAGATTTGCCGCAGTTCATGCAAACAGTTTGCGCTAATCTAAGAGCGGTTATTTGAGGACAACTCCAGCCATTTCGAGTTTGCCTCTTCTTTTCTTGTCGTTTTTCGATCTTATAAGTCAGTCGCTTTCACTCTCTTGTCAGTCACTCACTCACTCACGCTCTCTACCCAACACAATGCGATTCCACATCGCAGCGCTCTTTCTGGCCTCGCTCTCGTTGGTGTCGCTGACCGAGTCCTCCCCTCTCGTCAACGTCAAGAGGGAGGCCGGAGCTCTCGAGGCTCGTACGGCTCAGGCGTATGGAGCTCCTGCTGCTCTTCACACTTACGTCTCGACGACAAAGACGACGACGACGGTGAAGCCTACTACGACAAAGACTACCACTACCTCGAAGAAGACTACTACCAAGAAGACCTCGACGAAGAAACCTACGACGACCAAGTCTACTACCAAGTCTACGACCAAGTCTACGACCAAGAAGAGCTCGACGAAAAAGGCCTCTACCACTAAAAAGCCTACCACGAAGAAGACCTCCGCAAAGAAAACCACTGCCAAGACTACGGCAAAGACTACCACTACCGCCGTGAGGCCCACCGCCGTTGCGAAGGCCGCTGCTGTTCCCACTTCGAAGACGACCACGACGAAGGCTACTACTACGATTTCGAAGAAGGTGATTACCACGTCTACGAAGCCGACTACCACGTCTACGATTAAGATCACCACTACGACCAAGAAGCCGACTACTACTACGACGAAGAAGACCACTTCCAAGACGACCACCAAGGCGCCTACAACGACGCTGAAGACTACGACGAAGGCTGCTACCACAACTGCGAAGACTACGACGAAGGCTGCTACTACGACTAGTAAGGCTGCTACTACGACATCGAAGGCTGCTACTACGACTAGTAAGGCTGCTACTACGACATCGAAGGCTGCTACTACGACTAGTAAGGCTGCTACTACGACATCGAAGGCTGCTACTACGACCAGTAAGGCTGCTACTACGACATCGAAGGCTGCTACTACC